ATTTGATGATGGGTATCATTTTTTTGTTTTATCAAACTCTATATGCCTGTAAAGGTTTTTTTAAATATACTGAAAATAAAAGATTCATGAAAACTTTTAAAACACAAGTAGGAATATTAGAATTATAGCATTATAGATTCAATAATTATGTAGTGACTTGGCATCAAGTGTAACGTGCACCAACAGCAGGTGCATAAAATCAGGTTCTACAATTTCATTTTTTTCAACACAATTTTAGATATATCATGTAAGGAAAAGAGTGCTGAAAAGTTCTTGGCCCAAAATGATCAAACATCAGAATATTTTTTTATCCCTTCTTAGTTGAACCAATTTACTTTTTTCTACAACCTTTTATATGTAATGTAAATGTAGGTATGTCCAATAATTTGCCGAAAAAACAGCATAGCATGATGAAAAAGGCTCCAAACTTAATAAAAAGTTTTATTATGAAAAAGTGTTATTCATAAAAGGAAAGACCAAAGTATTTTTTAATTATTTTATTAAATTTTTTTTTATTCCTTTCTAGCACAGTCGAAATTTTGGTTGAAAATCTTGTTTTAAGTCAGCAGTCACATAATATTTAGTATTAGTTTTTTAGCACTTTTTTCAGTTGATAAACACATTAATTTGGAAATTCTTGCAAAAATCAAATAATTGTTTGATTTTAATGAAACTTTCAGAACTTATTAAAAAATGAATGTAATTATTTTAGAAATGTCTTTTTTTTTTTTTAAGAAAGTCATAGTAAAAATATTTTTTGAATCTGTTACCCTGCCCCTTAATTTTATGAAAACTCTAATATATGCATCTCTGTAATTTTTAAATTAAATGCAGAAGGGTTTGAAGAATATAAATCATAGATGTTTTTGTAAACTGAGGAGCGTTTCTACCCAAACTTTAGCTCTGAATTGTAAAATACAAAACCCAATAAAACTAAGACATTATTTAATTAAAAAAGCTTTTAATGGCTTTTATAAATAATATATATTAAAAACATAATTGTCTGAAACCAAAATATTTTTTCAATGAAAAATGAAATTTTTCAAGAATCTTTTTTTTTTTTAATTTTAAATACAAAATGTGATAAAGTTGTTAAATATTTTAAAATTAAGTTTGAATATGTTATCTTTGGAAATGGTCTTATTAAAAGTTCTGTTTTCACAGATCTAAAATTTGAAAGTTTATAACAATCTACAACGCGTTTCTATTTTTACAATAATTTTTTAATATGCCAAAAAATTTATTAAAAACGTTTCCAGCAAAACTACAAAGGCACAATTCAGAAATAATGTCCAGTGTTTTAAGAGTTGTTTCTCCTGAGGGCAAGGATCTGGCCTCATAAATTACATTGATTTTGTGTCAAATTCTGACTGACTTGGCCATCATCGTCGCATTTTCAAAATTTAAATATTTTTTTTTTTAAAATATAATCAATTTTTTTCTTTTTCAGTGAAAGACATACTGCAATTATTAATTTTTTCTTTTTTAGATTCAGTTTTAGGAGCAGAAACAGTGCAGGTTTGGGACATAAAAAGTACCTAAATTAACAAAAATCAAATCAAAAAAATAAAATCTCAGACTTTTGAAAGTATTTAATTTTTAAGAATTACTTTAGTTAAATGTGAGTTGGTTCACTTAAAATTTAAAAATACTGTCACTTCTGACATTCTGTCCGAAAAATTGCCCTGATGTTAGTTGTTAAAAAAAATAAGTAATGTTTGTTTCCAATTATTACTTTAAATTTTCTGTTTTCCTAAAATAACTTTTGAAAAAAAGTATAGTTGAATTTTACAAGATTTTTAAACGGAGAATTTCACTTTTGTTTACAAAGTTGTCAAAAATGGCTGATTTGATCGATTTTTTTTTACATAAATTTTGCTGACTCAAAAAAAAAAAAAAAAAAAAAAAAAAAAAAAAAAAGATTTAACTAAAATTTTGGACTTGCTAGTAAGGATCAAAAAATACTTCGGTCTTTCCTAAAAAATAAACATTTAGACGATAAAAAAAATGTTTAATCAAGTTCGGGGCTTTTTTCATGAGAGAATGCTCTTTTTTATCAAAGTATTGAACACACCTACAAACCTAATAATACAATACATCAACTTCATAATAGTGAAAGAAATTAAATTTTATTTTATTTTTTGTAAATCTTTTCTTCATTCTTCCTTCAATAATTTACTTTTAAGGAGAATCAAGATTTACAATTATTAATTAACTAACATGTTTTTCATACAGTGTAACCCGGATATAAGAGAGTTGTCGGGACCGGAGAAGAAGTCTCTTATATCCGGGTTTGGTCTATTTTGTTTAGGTAAGTATGGGAACACTTCATATAACACTTTTTACGTACAGAACACTAGTTTATTTAACAGTTATAGACATAAAAAACACAGACAAAAATACATTTTCAATCAGTTTTCAAAATAATTCAATCAAAAATTACTTTTTCTTAAAAAAGTCAGTCATTTTTGATTGTACAGAAATCTCTTTGTTAACATCATGAACACTTTCATACAGTCCATAAATCATTTTCAATGCGCCATCAGGATTACTACTTTTTGCTTCAAAGTAGGCTGTCAGAGTTTCAAGTGCATTCAATGCAGCCAGAGAATTTGGCACTGGTTTGTCACTTTCAGAAACTTCAGAACTTACGCTTTCAGCATCATCATCTTCGTCAAAATCTTGATCATCCGACTTTATACCACGTGTGATGTCCGTGTCAGTCAGTTCTCCATAACATTGTGTACAGTTGTCGAAGCTGATAAATTCGTCAAAATCTGTTTGCCGTGGTTTTGCCGACTTACCAACAACTACAGCTTGCTTTTCACTGCCGTCCATGTTTGTGAACTGAAGCATCGTGAGTGTCTTTGGAAACTTTTGTCCCATTTGACTGTTTGTCGCCAGCAAATCACAAAGATCCAGACGGCATGGCTTTGTAGAAAATTCCCATTTCATCACAGTTCCAAACATCTTTTGGATCATATCCACGAAAAAGTTGCGGCAAAACGTTTGTCACCCATTCGTTGGCAGAACCGTGATCTGACGTTGTTTCGCCGTGAAATTTTTTGAACGAAACGTTATTGGCCTGCTTCCAGCGTGTTAGCCAGCCATTGCTCGGTTCAAAATCAACTTCAAGATTTACGGCCAGTTGTGATGCTTTCTGCCTGATGACGTGGTCGGTGACAGTAGCTCCATGAGCACATGCTTGTGTAAACCAGTGTAAGCGCTTCGTTAACGTCCTTGTGCATGGATTGGCGCTTTCGTTTGCGATTAGTGTTTCCATTCATTTGCATGCAAGATCTGAGATCGTCTTCTTTCTTGAGAATTTTTGCTGCTGTTGAATAACCGATTCCGTACTTTTTGGCTGCAGCGGCCAGTTTGAGTTTCTTCACTTTAACATCGTCGATGAGCTCCAACTGTTCAGAAATGCCGAAAGCAAAATCATAAGGTAGAGGGTGTCTCCTACAGACACAGATTGGACACACCGTGTCTCTAGACTAGTCAAGATTAAGTCATTGAACTTCACTCTCTCTCTAACTGACCTTTGTTTGACCGATTTACGACATCCCACTGTCACTCAAAACGAACTCTCTTATATCTGGAAGGACGGGACCAGAGAAAATCTCTCTTATATCAGGGTTTCTCTTATATCCGGGTTACACTGTATTTCAAAGTGCTTTCCATGATAAAACATCCGACAACTCTCTTATATCCGGGTTACATTGTATATTTTTTAGTACAGAACAAGAATTGGTAAAAAAAAAAAAAAGACTATCATATTCTATTTTCCAATGCAAAAATACAGTACATACGCATATTTACTAAAAAAAAAAAAAAAAAAAAAAAAAAAAGTCTTTTCGAGTCACTCCAGAAATTAAAAAACAAAATTTGAGACATCTGGAATATACGTAAAAGAAAATATTTTTAAAATACTTTGTTATTTTTCTCATTTCGGTCTTGTTTTGTTTTTTTAGGTACTATTTATTTATTTTGTAATTTACCAAAATGTTTAGCAAGTAAGATTGTTACTACTAATTGTATAAAAACATATCTCAATTTTCTCATTGAAAACACAAGTGACAAAGTAAAAGACAAAAAAAAGGATACGGATTTTCTTTTTTAACCCAAAAAATAAAGAGCGAAAAAACGTGTGGGCAATCATCATTGTAGGTTAAAAAATAAAATAAATACAGTTTTTATAACAACAAGGATTAACTAAAAAAAAGAAAATAAATGGAAATTTAGTACGAAGTTATCGCTAAAAAAATAACTAACTTCAATGATAATCGAAAACTGGAAAAATAATCTCCCAGACTTATTCCTCCTGCAGTTTGCTGTCATTTTCATATCGGTTTTTTTTTAGTTTTGTTTTGTTTTTTGTTCGATTTTTTTTTTTATTTTGCACGAGATTTAAAAAAAAAAAAAAAAAAAAAAATTTTCATCGGAAACACATTTAAGAGTTGAAAAATAAAATGTAAAGTTAAACTAAAAACACAATCTGAATTTAAAAATCGAAAAGGTTTTTTTCAATTCTTTCCTTTTTGGTTTATTCAGTCTTCGCGTGAATAACAACTTAAAATATACTTTATAATTATTATAATAAAAACAATTTTAAAATAAATGTTGACTAAGAAAATTTTTACATACATTTTTTTGTTTTTTTTAGAGTTGGAAGTTTATTGGTTAGGAATAGTAAAAAAAACTTATAAAAAAATGTTAACTTTAAAGTTTAAACAGTTATTCTTATTATTTTTAATTATATTTTCACATTAAATTAGCTAATATACCATGATAAAAAACTTATACAAAATCTACAAGCAGATCTTTGTTCATTAAAAAAGCCACGTATGCAACAAACGTAACAACAGGCTGGAAGATGAAAAGAATTTCACTTAAACTGCAAACTAAACACCAACAACAACGTCCCAGCATAATAGCATCAAAAACTAAATGAAACACAAAAAATAAAAGTAAGAATATGTGTGTGTATATATACTAACAAATACTTCTGTGTCCAGCTTCCATTCTGCATGAACAGTGAGATTATACAAAATATTTTTCTCATTTGTGTCATCCTTGAAAGACGCCATTTTGTGTACAACCTTCACCTTGGCAAGATACCTTCACCTTTCCTTATGGTTAACAAATATTCAGGCTAGTGGTATTGATTGTTTGTTCGTCCAGAAGTGTAATGAAAAAAAAGCAGATGCTTGTGACTCTCAAGATTTTCTGGTCAAATCCAAAACTGATTATACCATTTTGCTTTGTTGATATTTTTTTTTTTTAATTTATACTTCAGCTGGTATTGTGTATTTCATGAAGTTATTTTTTTTTTTGCAATATGGACAAAGAGTTTTAAACTGGTCGTCGTTGTTTGAATGCTATTATCCTGCTGATTTATTGTATAGTGATTTTCTAAGGGTAGTTTAGATGTGGCACAAGGACGAAAGTATCAAATTCACTACTCAGTCATAACTGTTCTAGAGCAAGGCAAGCTTACTAACCATTCACGTCGAGGTGCCAAATTGATTGTATGCATGGCGACTGTAACGAAGTTATGTATTAAAATTTTTTTGGTTTTTATTCTTTCTTTTCACGCTCCTACCAACTCCTTGTGCCAGACACAATTTAGTTGGCAGAATAAACGATAACTGCCGTTAGTAGGCGCGAGTTAAAATTACAAGACAAATCACTGCGTAAAATTTTAAAACAGGAAAAAACATTTATTGTACAATTACTTTAATCACAAAGTTACAAACAAGGACAAGAAAGGTTGCACAAAAATTTCCTTCTGTGCGCCTAACACGGCAGGATAATAATATTTTCCTGGGGTTTCTAAAAAGGAAATACCCACAGAAACAAGCAGGAAATTAATAATTGTTTACTTTAACTCCGGTTTTTGAAAATTCAGACCCTTCAAAAATACAAAAAACACCAAAAGAAGGGATAAAGTTTTCAGACCCTTTAAATACGAAAAACACCATAAGAAGGGATAAAGTTTTCAGATCCTTTACAACAATACCAAAAAAAAGGGACAAAGTTTTAGAGCTTTTACAAAAGTACATAAAAAAGGGACAGAGTTTTTAGAGAGACCAACACATAGCAGAACGCAAGGCACCCACCTCCTTCCTTAAAAGAATTTTCGTTGACTACAGGCCGGATTGGTTTGGAAAAGGTTGGTTCTACTTTCTTTGAAGAATTTTCATTGACAGCAGGCCGGATTGGTTTGGTTAGGTAGCTGATTTATGGCCCACTTGCCGGTCAATGTAGAGTGTTGGTGTTAAGTGGTCTGCGAACTGCGTGTCGTCTCTGCCTCTGAATCGTTTCTTAATGTCCTCTCTTTTATTTGGAAAAGTCGGCTCCACTTGGGGCCATCCGGAATCTCTACGGGCCTCGAAAACTCAATTTTCATTGGCCAATATATGAAAAAAGGCCTTTCTAAATTTCACTTTTGGCGGCTATTCCTGATCCGAAAGGGTCATAAATTTTACACAAGAAAATCAGAGTTTGGCAAACAATTTTGGCGGCAAATCTTGATCCGAAAAGGTCATAAAAATTGCACAGTTTTTTCTTTTTACACACACACCGTCCGGCTTACAAAAAAAATACACCTTCCTCAAAAATAAACAAAAAAAAATCAACACCTAGACGGTCTTAACATTTTAAATTGACATTTTTTTTTAATTCTTTCTTTAATAAAAATAAAATTTTTATATATGATGTAGATGGCACTGTTCAGGTTTTATTATTTTTAATTTGTTTCGTCGACATCAAAGCAATTGTATTGTTGCGAATTTGAATCAGCCCACATCAAAGAAAAGGACGAAAAAGGTGTTTAAATATAACTAAGAATAAGATATTTTTATTTTGTTTTTTAACAACTAAATTTTTCTTAGCGTCTGTGCCTGTGAGTATTAAATTTGTCAGTATACAGTCCTTTCCTTGTAGTTGATTTTCAAGAGGAAATAAATAAGAAATGAATGTGATTTCTTTGCGTGTATATGTGAGAGAGAAGAGGGGTCCATAATATATGTTGAAACGTGCGGCATGTTTGTTCTTTTTTGAAAAGTAATTTTTTGAACGAAACTGAGTGACGCTTTTTTTGTCAGTGTTTTTGATACTATCTTTTAGTACGCATAGCTTTTATTAACTGCATTGTTTTTTAAGAGTAGTTTTGTGTACGTGTTTTGGCGAGGGGGGGTCTCTCCTCTCCAACATTATGGAGGAGTCTCCCCAGAACCCAGATAAATCCCCACCAGATACATCAGCTTCGACAACTGTGTCATCAACTACGACAACTGTGTCAACGGCATGGACTTCAGAAAAACCAAAGAGCCGGAATATTACGAGGCCCTAAAAGAGAAATATAAGGAATTTATTGACGGTAATGAACTATTGTCGATACCGTCTGTTCTAAGGGCAGTTGGGACGAGAACAATCTCTCTGCTGACTTCAGACGTCAAGTCCCGGAAACTGACAGGCGTCACTCGGGAAACAATAGAAGCTCTTAAAAGTCTCAATATAACCTCCAAAGTGCTGGCCAAGAGGTCCAACGCCATGTGGGATATCTTGCTGGCAACGGAGAACGAAGCCAAAAGTTTAGCCAGTAGTATTCTCACCACAAAATCGGTGAGGCTACAAACAATACTTGGGCACCCGCAAGACTAGGATTACGTTACATCGGGTGCCCTCGAACATATCTAAGTACCATTTGGGGGCTTGTTTTACCCAAGATGGACAGGTTGCCGAGGTCACACCGGCTAAAGGCAAGACACGATTTTATTTCTGGGAACGTATAACATGTATAACAACATCCCCGGTGGAAACCGCCGGGGATGTTGTTATACATGTGACACTAAAAGGTTTTACTGGTATCCCCGATACTCAGACTTGTGGTGGCAGAAGAATTTTCGTAGTTGTTCAAGGCCGTCAGCCCCACTGCTGGTCCTATGGCGCCGCGGGGTATATGTCTAAAGAATATCCTGGCAAGAACCCGGCGCCACCAACTTAACAACGGACAGCCCAACAAGCATCTGTCCAGCAACAGACAGTAGTAAAAGAAGTTGTGTGTCAGACCCCCAATTATGCCAGTGAGTGGCAGCAGGCGACCAGGAAGAGACGCAAGCCGGCAACTCCTCCTCCATCAGGGTGTCTTACCAGGGCGAAAACAACAGAACCCGAAGCAGAAGACTTCACAGCAGCGACAACAACAAGAAACGCAGCAACAACCCCAACAGACACAGCAGCACCAACAGACACAGCAACAACAACAAAAGTCACAGTCACAACAACTGGAACAGCCACAACAACAACAACCAGAGCAAGAAGAGCAACATGAAACAGGGCAGTTGCACAAACTACTTGATGTAGGTATCGGGGTGGAGATGATGCCTCCACCTAGATCTTCTTCTTTAAAAAGTGGGAGAGACGAGGACAACGTTATTAAAAAAGAAAAAGTCTGGCTGTAGCAGGATGGAAAAGGCCAGAGAATACTGTTCAGTTCCCGGCTCGCCAATTAGGTAAAAAGACACTGAGCCAGACAAGGCTAATAGCCTCCCCGCTTCTCCCACTAAAGTTTTGCCATCTCCCTCCCACATAGTATCCCTTTCACCAGTCTACAAACAAACCCTTCCCAGGAAAAAGAAATAATTCCCAAGGGGCAGGCTAGTTGCCAGGTGGACAGAAAGACCTTTATTTAAATGTACCTCCGTGGACGGAAAGTCGACAGAGGATCCTGGAAACTTTCCCAATGCACCTGGTGTAATGGCTCTCATCAGGAACACGGGGGAAATCTGAAAGTGTGGGACACGTTCCCAAAAATAAAAATCGTACAATTAGGCTCTCCTGAGCTACGAAAAATGTCGCAAATGTATGCCGGGAGGGTCCCTGTTATCCTCTAACCCTGTTTATACAGGGCCCTAAAATTAACCTACCCTACAGACGTCGGCGGCATTGTCCTAGAAGGACGAATTACGTCCGATATCGGTACATATCCGTCAGGGTCTTGTCCCTCGCAGATTTCCGGCCAGTTTGCGAATAAGTGAATAACATTGTTTTTTAAGATGTAAACATGTCTATCAAGCTAGCTAGCTCAAATATGAATGGTCTGAGATATCGGGGTAAGGCGGCCCGCCTGCTTTGTGATCTCTTGTCGTTCAACGTAGATGTGGCCGCGATCCAAGAGACACACTTTATTTGCGAAGTTGATGCTCGTGTGTTGTCTAGCGACAGGGAGCAGGGAAGGGCGATCGTAACCTGGTCGATCTGATCGGCAATTTGGTCCGTCGAGGTTCCGATCGATACATTCTGAAGGTCGATACCTCGGAGGGGCGTACTTTGTGGTCAACCAGCGACATGTGTGAGATATTTCGGCGGCTTGGTCTCTGTGACGAAGATTTTCGCAGGTATTTGGTTGATTTTCTTCGGATTTCGCAGACTGAAACGACTATCTGCGAGGGTGAGATCACGCAGGGTGAAGTTCACTTGGCATTGATGAAGGTCGGCAATGACAAGTCTCTGGGACTTGATGACCTGCCCTACGAATTGTGCTGGGGTCTGTCGCACATCTTTGTGCCGAACTTGACAGTGATGTTCCACAACTGGTTCCGGCAGGGGTCCGTCCACGATCGAATCTGCAGGGGCGTGATCACTCTGTTGAGAAAGGGGAAGGATGGTGGAGGGACTTAGATGACTAGAGGCCCATAACTCTGCTAAACAAAAGATTTTGGCCAAGATCCTGACGGAGCGTTTGCAGTCAGTTGTCGAGATTCTGTTGGTACCCGAGCAGATTTGTGCTGTGGTGGAACGAACAATTCAGAGCAACTTGTATCTGTTCCGCATGATCATAGAGGGAGTAGAAGACAACGAAGAAGCTGCTCTGATCAATTTGGATCAGTCTAAAGAGTTCGATAGTGCTGTCCGTCATGCCGCCGGATTCCAACCCGACTTCTGCATTTGGATCAGACACCTGCATCGCTCCCCCAGTATATAGTGCAGGTGAATGGGAAGCGGTCATGCACTTTTCCAATGTCATGGTCGGTTCGTCAGGGTTACCAGCTGTTGCCACTACTTTATGCTTTGGCGTTGGAGC